GCTTTATCTAAGCACTGGATCAAGAATGAACCTTTAACGGGGAGGTTTTTTTCAAAAGGTTATGAACATCTGAATGGACTATATTGTATATTGTATATGTGTGCTTGATGAATTTCCATAAAAGGTGGTTTAGACAGGACCTACTGACTATTTCCTTGGGTGTCCCCACCCGACAGGAGATCGTCCAGTTCAGCTCTTAGAATAGAGGTCAGACTGATGGGTCCACAGGCTTGCCAGGACGTGCTGTTCGTCACGGACCTTGCTCTGCTCACAGAGATTTGTTAGGCTATGTGGACGTTCGTATATTTCAGGAGAATTGCGTATGTTTTGAGTGAAGTGGTCTGCTCCCTCCTTTATCAGCCTACATTCTTTCTCATCCTTGTTCATGCTGTGCTGCAATGAAACATAAGTCCAATTTGGGTATTTCATATTTCAGCTTTTAGGGGAGGGGGAATGAATATTGGAAGTTTGAAAAGATGTCTGTGGTTTGCTGGGGAGTCTACTCTTGTGTAGTAACTATGTAGAAACCAGTTTGCGCAAGACCATCAATATTTATCTTAATCTTATTTGGAACTTGATCACAATTAAGTGACAATTCCTGTGAATCCCTGAAATTGCAAAGCCTTTAAGCCATACAGTATGTTTGCTATTAGTTTTTTCATCTATATTAAAACACATTAGTTTAGAAACTCACTCTCTGGAGTTTCTGGTATAGATTTCTCTTCCGTAAGTGTGCTGTGAAACCTGTGATTTTCTGTTGGAAGGTGAGGGGGTATTTTTGTGTGGATGGGGATTATCGGTTATTTTCCCTCCCTTAGAGTGTTTCAGGTTTTGACTTCTCATTTCTTAAGGTCTTGCGCAACGTACATTTTCTCAAACTTCTGCACCGGAAGTTAGAAATGTATGAAAGCTACAAAACAGATCTGCTGAGTTTTGGATTGTACCCTGAGATGCACTGAATGACCTGTTCTTTTCGCTTCAGTTTTTGACCCATGTACATTAACAGTCCTTTCACGCCCTTTCTTTGCATGAGGTCCCTGTGCTGCCTGAGTAGAGCCTTCTTAAGAGAGAGCCGTCTTTCATTTTTCTGTTTGGGGAAAGAAACTCTTCCCTCATCGGGAGCTGCTCTTTGCGGTCCCACTCCAGCAGCTGGGGCTCCTGCCTGAAGATCGTACAGGTTTTCTGAACCTGCGGCTTGCTTTTTGGCATGTTCCGTTTTGCAGCGCTTGTGCGTAGGGTCATCGTACCTCAGGAGTAACTCGCGAGGCTCATCACAACCGGTGTCATCTCTTCCTGCTGGACTTCTGTATAAAATGACCTGTAAAGCAGAAATTAGTATTATAACGTAATTCCTCTCTGCACTGATTTATTGAGGTTCGGGTCCACAAGTGTGTACAAGAGCTAGCAGCTTGTTAAACCAGCAGGGTGGGATGTGCTGCATGCCGATGACGTGTTTTTTTTCCTCCCGGCAGCACAAGTGGACGTACTGACTGCCGCCCTGAGGGCCTCGGCGCTGGACTCTCACCAGGAGGACACGGCGCAGGAGCCCCTGGACAGCCGGACAGAGCACAGCGAGGAGGGGGGCAGTGAGGACCCCTTCGCTGTCGACACTGTGCCTTTGATCTGCGACTCGGCAGAAATTGAGGTGACTTGCATGCCGCCAATTCTACAGCTGCAGAGCGCAGAGATGGTTTTCAGTCACCTGGTGCTTATTGAGGCATTTTTATGTTTGCACATCAGAGATGCACTCTTTTCTGCTGGTGGGGGTAGGCTCCTTGGCCCAGGCTGATCTGGGTTGTAAGGATCCCGTTGGGATTGTTCTTGAATGCCTGTGGGAGCTTAGCATCAACAACGTGACTTTGCAGATTCCATATAGTCACAATCCGCAGGACAGCATTGCTATTGTTTTATGGCAGAATGTTTTTTGTATCTTTTTTTCCCAAAAACTGTGCGATTTCCCAAGCTTGTTCCTGATCTCTCAGAATCTTAGCATGCTTGATTTACAGAGCCTTTGGAAGTGAGGCATTCAAGTAAGATCTGGTTGCTGATGGAAGTTGTGACAGTAGACCGATTGGTTCTGGACGATAAAGTCCAAAGCTGTGTCCTACTATGGTGGCAGAGGGTATCTCCTGGCACTGCCCAGAAGACCGGCCCAGTGTCCCAGCTCAGTCCCAGTTGAGGCTCCTCTAAAGTGGACTGGAAAAGTAATGGCCGACTTTCACTTTGCAAGCTGCTGTTTGGTTGGCTGTTCGTGATCTAGCCCAGGGGCGTTGCCGTGCGAGACAGCGCACAGTCCCGCGTGAGGCTCTGCTGCAGTCATTTGATTTCACCACCTCCCAGGCCTCCGCCTTCGGTCTTTAACGCGGAAACGTTTTCCCGCTCAGAGCAGAGAGGCCAGCCTCCAGCTCAGCCACGGCGAGGACTCCGAGCTGAGCGACAGCAGCACGAGTCCAGAGGAGGACCGGAAGTCCAAACAGCAGGTACCGGCACCGAGCGCGTCGGCAGGAACAGACTGGATTAACACCGTTTCTCTGTGTCCGCTGTCGTATAAAAGGGTTTGGCCTGCTCTTTGATTTTTTTAATCAACTTGCTGCTTTCTGAGCAAGTGTCATCTTGAGTTTTGGACATAAACTGTCTCGTCTTCTATTGAATACGAATCCTAGATACACAGGCGTTTGTGCCGAGGCCTGAATGCAGATCCTGTTGATATTGTTAAGCTCCAAGCGACCAACTCGGATATCTGCACTAGCAGTTCCATCACTAGCACTATCACTAGCAGTGCAGACAGTGTGAATATCACAGCTTTGCCTATAAATCATTATAGCATGTAATATGTTTATCTTCTACAGAATTGTTTTTTCAGTGTTCGCTAAAGTCATTTTCTGCCAGGGTGTATAGAAGGTGTGGGAGTGGTCCTGCTGTTGTTGCTGAGTGATGTGAAAGCATTCTGTTTCTGGGATCCGAGTTGGAAGTGGAAAGGAACTACAAATGATTTGCTTATTTCTGCTGCAGGACGTTGTACCTCAGGCCCTCCTGGACCAGTACCTGTCGATGACGGACCCCTCCCGGGCCCAGACGGTCGACACGGAGATCGCCAAGCACTGCGCTTACAGCCTGCCCGGTGTGGCGCTCACCCTGGGCCGGCAGAACTGGCACTGCCTCAGGGACACCTACGAGACCTTGGCCTCCGACATGCAGGTGAATTTGCCTGCGCCTCCGATTCCACCTTTCGATTCGTGACTCTTCCACGTCGACGGCACGCCGGTTGGCCTGCCTTGTTTTTTCCCCCCTCATTCCATCAGTTGCATCGTCCTCTCCAGCTCATCTGTGAGGTTTTTTTTTTTATTAGCAGGCTGGAGGGAACAAGACCTGGATGACTTTGTTTTGTTAGTGAAGCAGCTGTTCGCCGTTTCATGCCTTCGACTGCAGGGTCTACAGAACCCATTTTCCATTTCCATCGCTCTTGTTTGTCTTGGATGTTACCGTGTTGCCTTTTTACTTTTAAACTTTGAGAACTTAGATGTGTCTGGGTTTCTCACAGTCCTTCCCTGTTATCACTTGCTAGTCCTCCTCTCTCCCCTTTAAGACCGTACTGTCGCCGCCGCCTGGCCTCGTGTCTTTCCCTTGTCACCGAGCTCAGCTCTGTCCCACAGTGGAAGGTGCGCAGGACTCTGGCCTTCTCTATCCATGAACTGGCGGTCATCCTGGGAGACCAGCTCACTGCTGCTGACCTTGTGCCCATCTTCAACAGCTTCCTCAAAGACCTGGATGAAGTCCGAATAGGGGTTCTCAAGCACTTGTATGATTTCCTCAAGGTGAGATCTCCCCACTGCCGCCACCTGAAGTTTTTTCGTTTTGCGTGTTTGAGTGGTGGTGCTTGTTGAGAGATGATTCTTCACATTAGAAAACAAGTCCGTGAGCACGGGGATGGTAGTAACCCGTGCAACTGCTGTGGATACTAACACTGCATTTAAATATGGTTTCTGAAAAATAATATGAAGCGCAATATGTCTCTGGAAGCTGAAGCCACAGCCTTGTCTAACATCATGCCTTGCGAGCCTTCTGAATCCTTTGTAGAAGCTGGATCGTACTGCTGGTTCAGTTTGATGGTATTCGTTTGCTGCAAGCTGTTTTGATGAACTGCTGAAGGAGAGATTGGCGTCATTTTTGGCAGAAACGTCTCGTCCTCTGTGCATCACGTGTACTGCTCTGGAGGAACAGGGTGTGCTGAAAGCTGTGCTCTGTGCCGATTCCCCCTCCCCGCAGTTGCTGCACCAAGAGAAGAGGAGAGAATATCTTTACCAGCTGCAGGAGTTCCTGGTCACAGACAACAGCAGAAACTGGCGCTTCCGAGCAGAGCTAGCGGAGTAAGCCTTCCAAATGCAGCTTTCTTGGCAATTTAACTGTGCAATAAAATTAGAATGGCAGTTTTTTTTTTTTTTTTACTCCCATACTCATAATATAGCATCAGTCGTCACATGGAGAAACATTGCTACACTACCAATCATTTTTGGGGGTTTTCTGTCATTTTAGCTTCTTCATTAAAAATATTTTCTTATGGCCCTTGTTGGTTTTGCCAAGCATTTCAGATTTGAGACAGTTTATTTGAGACCCATTTTTGTGCAGTTTCTGCATGCAGTTTCTTTACTGGACGATCTTGTATCTCCCACATCTAGGCAGCTCGTTCTCCTGTTAGAGCTCTACGGTGGGAAGGATGTGTATGACTACCTGCGACCTTTAGCGTTCAATCTGTGTACAGACAGAGTCTCTTCAGTCCGGTGGATTTCCTACAAGCTTGTGAGTGAAACGCAGTGGTCTTCTTGACGGTGAAACCAAGTTCTTATGCAGTCCAAATATGGCACAAATTGTTTAATTTTGTTTTGACTCTGGGGTTGACCTTTTTGAAAAGTTCACCAATTGTATTGAGTTTGAATGTATAGAAAATACTTCCTGTTTTCATATTTATCATTAAACTGTGAAATCTTTTAATTCTGGATGCTAAATACTGATCGGTGAGTTGATTCATCAGATTAGATGTTTGAATATACATGGTGGGCAAAATAACACACCGAAAGCTGTGTACTTTCAGTGTCTGTATTTTGCTCATCCTGAGGTTTTAAGGTCATTTTGTTTTCTGGCGCAGGTGAGTGAGATCATCAGAAAGCTGTCCTCCGATGTGACCTTGCTAGCTGATTTCATGGTGGAGCTTGTCGATAAGTTCTGTCATTCCCCAAAGTGGTCCGGACGCCAGGCGTTTGCTTTCATCTGCCAGGTAACACAACGGCCGCACACGTGTTGGCACGGGGACCGGCACGGATCCCTCATTGTGTCCTGGTGCCGTGCGATTGCTGAGCGGGAGGTGAAGCTGCTGTCTAAGCCAGAGGCTGGCTCTATTTACGGATGCATTTGCAAAAACGGCAGACTGCAAGTCTTGATAAGTCCCTAAAAATCATGCAGTTCACTTGCTGTTTTACTATTCTAGTGTTGCGATAATAATTGCTTACACTTATTAAGTGCTTTTCTGGACACTCCACTCAAAAAGTGCTTTACAGGTAATGGGGATCCCCTTCACCACCACCAGTGCACGACCATAGTGCACCAGTACGCTCCCCACACACCAGCTCTCGGGGAACAGAGTGATGAGGCCAGTTCAGAGATTATAGAAATCCCTTTTATTACAAATGTATCACTCATCTCTTGGGTGTGCAGCCTTGCTGCAGGGGGTTGACAATTGGAAGAGCTGCTTTTTTTTTTTTTTTTTAGTGTCTTGAGGTGTTTGATGTATCGCTACTAGCATGATGCTCAGTGACCATACAGTAGCAAACTCCAGATCTGCACTTGCTTTCAACGAACCATTCCCTCAGTTAACATGAACCTCCTGCTCCATCATGAATACGGGCGATTGGCCACCCTAAGCTTTGTTTTAGTGACCCAGCAGGTTGTCTGTTGAGTGTGCGGTTCGTGGACGGGGCCCAAGCGGAGGTGCAGCATGTCCTGCGTTTCTGAATTTCCCGTCTGCTCGCAGCAGTAGGACTTTCACGCTGTCCTTCCCCTGCAGCTGGTGATCGAGGACGAGTGCGTCTCCATGGAGCAGTTCTCCGAATACCTCCTCCCCCCCCTGCTGCAGCTCGTGTCGGACCCCGTTCCCAACGTGAGGGTGCTCCTGGCCAAAACCCTCAGGCAGACGCTGCTGGAGAAGGGTAAGGCTGCTCGACTGGCACAGGAGCCTCTGTTTGTGTTATTCACAGCTGTAACTCTTTTTCAGATCCACATTTTTGTTGGGATTTTCCTCTGTCCTAAATAGGGACCACCTTTTGTTTTACTTTTCTAAAAAAAAAAAGTTGGTTGCCTTTTTTTTTTTTTACAGATGAATATGTGGTCAATATTTGCGTGCATCAATTTTATAACTGGGGAAACGGCAGCCCCAGCTCAGCGATTTTTATCAGGATCAGAATGGCGAGGAACATCACGGCCGATTCCACACACCTACTCCTTTATAAGTTCATAGTGCTTTCATCGGGAAGACAGTATAGGGAACCACATTCAGATAAAAACATGAAGTCTTCTGTCCCCTCTGCAATGAATGGATGTAAATGTAGTCCCCCCCCCCAATACCTATTTATTTATGCATCACTGTTGTTGGGGTTTCATGTGATGTTATGTGACTTTTATGGGAGAAGCCAAAGACAAATTTCCACAGAAGTGGACAAAGTCTCTGTCAATGCACCCCTTACTTGTTGCGGTTTTGAACTGTCTTGATACCGAGACGTCCCGAACGGTCCTCCCTTTTGCAGAATACTTCGTGCAGTCCGCCAACTCTCACCAGGAGGCCTTGGAGCAGACGCTGGTGGCCCTGCAGATGGACCTGGACAAGGATGTCAAGTACTTCGCCAGCGTGCTCCCTGGCACCACGCGCATCAACGACGACGCCATGAGCACAGCGTCTTCCACCTACTGAGGCCTCGGGGCCGCAGAGGGCGAGGGGAGATGGACTGGCCCCTCCCTGCCCTCGGGGCAGCAGAGCAAGGAGCTGTGCGATCACCTCACTCCTGAGTCCCCGGCGGCAGCAGGCACTACAGCAGCGGAACCACTTCGGAATGACTGAGAACACGCCTGGAGGACCTCTCGCAAACCTCCGAGCGCCGCAGCTTTTTTTTTTAAAAAAAAAGCAAACCAGAACCATCTTTTCTTGACGTTTTGCCACAGAAGCCTTAAAAGAGTCTTCCTTAATTGAGGAAATACTTGAATGTCTGGAGCCATTTCACGGATAGAGGGAATTCAGTTTCTCAGATCATTCCTCTATTCTTTTTATTCAATCCTTTCTTTTGTCGTAGCAGAAGCCAGTATGACAAAGCTTTATTGAACCACATAGCAAAAAAGCTGTGTCTAACTTAATGTTTAAAGTTTAGGGTTTTTATACTGTGTAAAGTTGTCATATGCTGCAAATATTGTTCTATGTACTGTCACAACCTTCGGTGTGAACTCGTTGCTTGGTAATGAAGCACGATTATCTTAAGGGCTCCGTGCTACAGTGTTTTTAAAGTAGTGCAGCACATTGTTGTACCCATGTACAGAACCTCTTTGCCACCGGAGGTCCTGCTCTCATGACAAGAACAATATTGTATTTTTTATTATGCTGGCCATCTTGTGGAGTAAATAAAAAGAAAAAGGTTAGCACATGTACTTGAAGTCAGGTATTTTAACTTGATACTGATATACTGCACCTTCTTTTGCTTTTCCTAAGGGTTATTTTCACGCTTTGTACATATCTTTGGCCAACCTTTTTCTCCCCACTTTGGTCTATGATCATGTTCAATTGTGATGCCTTTCTTTACCTGTCCAAAATAAATCATAATGCAAACACTGTTGCTTTTCTGTTATTTAAAATTGGGTGGTGTATTACTCCCCTCCTCAAGAGACCCATCCTTGAGTTTTAAATCCAGAAAAGGCGGAATCTAATTGGTAAAATCACAAGATTCTAACTAGTTCAGAGTTGCATAACATACAGCTTTTAGCTCTTTCGTTTAGATGACCAGATCCTTCAAAGCTGTTAATCTAAACTTGAAAATGCAAATAATCATGCTGTAGTGTAATAAAATGAAACCCTGACCAAACCTGTTCTGCAGTTTTAGCAATCCATTATCTGTTCAGAGTGTCTTGGTGGGTCTTCTAAAAGAATCAGGTGGAACTCGCCACATTTCACTTAACATGGGAGTAAGTTAGAAAAATGTATTTTTACTGTTTTTTTCTAAATCCAGGCCCAGTTCTCTGGTGGTGTTACTGAAGTACAAGTAACTTTGATGCTATTCTGAGTCTGAGGTAATGACTTAGCACTTTGTTGCCTATAGAAGGAAGTTAACTAGAATGACTCATACCCACTCTTGAAATTACCAGCATTTACTGTGCAGATGGTTCAATAGTGTTGTGGCCCAATATTTTCTTAAAAGAAAAATAACACCATGCAACCATTTTTATTATGAGTACTTTATGAAATTATTCTCTGCTAGCTGCATACAGTATAATAAGAAATGAGGAGCCACAACCCACTGGCTTCAACAAACTGAAAGGTGACAGAGACACAAAAAAAACTCTCAAAAACAACACAAAATACATTATTTTTATCGAAACCGTTTTGACATCAGCCATTATTTTCAATGATAAAATATGCATATTATCCCCAAAACAGATCAGAGAATGCTTTAGTAATCGAAATTTTAAAATACTAAGTTGATATACTGCATCCACACTGCCACATCAAAGTAATATGGGTCACTGTAGTTGGAGTAATCATTGTAGAGCCCATACAGGTGGGATGATGATGATTACTACATACATTAAAAAAGGGTAATCAGTGTTCATTGTCTGGTATTTTTTTATTTAAACCTGGCTTCTTTTGAGAGACAGCTGGATGTGACTTGCATTAACTACTAACTAGCAAACAGACTAGACATGCCAAACGGCCAGCTCCCCCTTGTAACTCTCTCATGCTCTGTTCTTGCACGATGCCACGATTGAAGGCGATCCTACTGCTGAAAGCAATGCAGTTCATGTGGAACACTATCAAATACTCCATAACATAGAGACGCCTACAGATGTTTAGGATGGTCATAGTAGTGTTTCCTTGCGAACTCCAAGCTTCAGCATTGTAGGTATAGGCTAGATTTACTTTGTTAAAAGGCAGAGTACCAAGTACATCAGGCACTTCACGTGCTTGATGGGAACAGACCTCAGCCATTACAGGCACTTCATTTGTACTTTTCTTAGAAGAGTAAGTGTAATTGCAGTTTTTAATTGCGTTTTAGCTGACTTCACCAATGTGACCATTTCTGACAGGCTCTCTGATTTCCGACACATTTTCCAAGTTCAATTCAATAATAAGGTCTTTTAATGAAAAGTTTATTTCTGGAACATTAAATGTATTGCTCACCAGTCTGCTGTCATTTTAGTCTGGAAATATACTTAAATGTCCTAAGCTTACAATCACATGTATAGCTTGTACGATAATGACAAAAGGGTAGCTACAGTTTATTAGATTATCTTCATTTCAGTACATTAATCAGCTCTCAACACAGATAGTCTTAACAGAGATGTAACAGTTTTTATGACAATGGGCAGACTGCTTCAGCGACGTCATACTGGAATACAGAGGGGGGCCTTAAGGTTAGACAGAATAGTACTGCTTCTTTGATGGAATTTCTTTTAAAGGTTAATCAAGTTCCAAGAAAGTGAAATAAAAAAGGAATGTTCCTTGTGACAATTATGTAAAATAGCACTACGTTAACCGTGCCTTTTGAAAGCCATTTTAAGAAAGGACATGTGGTTCTTACACTATAGAAACTGCATATCATATACGAATTTTAATATCCTTCTAAAATAGAATCGAGGGAAACATTTGATATTCTTTATATATTTGAGTTTATATATATTTATATATAAGCATGTGATAAAATTAGGGTGGTCAGCCACAAACTGTTATAAATTCTTATAAATTAGCAACTAAGCTGATCAAAAAGGAGACATTTCCATGACGTAAAGAAAGAGACACTGGTTTAAAACACTAGTCCACTGTCTCTCCGCATTGCAAAAAGATAGAAAATGAAAGAATGACTAAACTGATAATATCAGAACACAGATTAACCAATACTATCAAATCATGCACTTAAAAGTAACAAGCGACTTGATCAGTTCTCATTTGCAATCCTGTGCTGTTATTGACTTGGCTGGAATACAGCTTCTTCAACGACTGGTAAAACGTTTAACACACAGACACGAACCTGGTGGTGCCGAGAGACAGCTGGCTGAGCCATTCAGTAACAGAATCACATGCTGCTGTACAGTTCTCCAAGACGATCACCGATCATCAGATCCCACTGCCCCCAGAACTGGTTCCAGTTCACTTTATAAATCGAAGTTGGTCAGAAATATTCTACGGTTACCTGCTTAAAAAAAAAAATCCAGAAGACATCTTACAGCAGGACGCGTATCGCTCCCTGTTTTGTTTAGTTTTTTTCCCCACGCATGAATAAGTGCTCCAGACGTCCCCCCCC